TATATAGTCCAGGAGTCAGGAGTATGTAATGTACAACATGGAGTATATAGTGCAGGGGTCAGGAGTATGTAATGTGCATTATAAATGATATAGTATGTCAGGACTCATAATATTGGTATTCAGTAATCAGTGGAAGATTAAATGTTTACTGTAGACAAGTTGCAGAGATCCCACACCGCTGCCTCCCATCTCCTGAGACTGCACTCAGTGACTTGGGTCTGAGACTATACAGACATATCCCTCCACCCGGCACTGTCAGCAGACAACAAAGTAACCCTGGGAGAATTGCTCTATCACAGAGCCTTTTAAATCCAGGATATGGGGTAGAAGACCTCAGGTACAGTCCCCAGGTACCTAGGTCATAGAATGCCTATGAAGGAGATCAACATTTTGCTGCCAGCTGAACCCCAGAACCTCCATAAATCCAGTCTAGATACATAAATTGTGTCTGCAGCACAGAGAAGGAAGATTATCCGAGAGAAATCCAGGAATACAGGACGGGGAACACAGCTCAGGAAAGTGACCAGGGGATTACAGGCTGATATCACCCAGTCCCCGCCCTACTCTGGACCAATCAGTGAGCAGTATGGGTGGAGGAATGTAATTATTATACAGCATTTATATTGCACCAACAGTTTGCGCAGTGCTTTACCATGTGGGGGCAAACAATACAGTTACAATACAATTGAATACAGAAGGGATCAGAGGGCCCGGCTCGTTAGAGCTTACAATCTAAAAGAGGAGGGTCACGTGACACAAAAGGTAATAACTGTGGGGGATGGACTGATGGAGAAAATACATGTACAGTTGTTTGGCGGAGGCAGGATAGGCTTCTCTGAAAAGTTTTCAGGGATCACTTAAAAGTTTAAGATAGTCAGACAGATTGGGGGAGGGAATTCCATAGGATGGGAGAGGCTTAGGGGAAGTTCTTCAGACAAGCATGGGAGGAGGTGACAAGGGAGCTAGAGAACAGAAGGTCTTGGGAGAAATGAAGAGAGCAATTTGGTTGGAATTTTGAGACCACGTTGGTGATGTCTCTGGGGGTTGAGTTGTGGATTGCTTTGTAAGTGGTTATTATTTTGAATTTAATTCATTGGGCGAGTGGCATCCAATGCTGGGATTGGCAGAGAGGAGTGGCAGACACTGAGCAGTTGGTAAGGTGGATGAGCCTGGCAGCAGCATTCATGATGGACTGGAGGGGGTATAGCCTATGTAAAGGTAAGCCAATGAGGAGGGAGTTGCTGTAGTCGAAGCGAGAGATAACCTGGGAGTGAATTGGGAGCTTTGTGGTGTCATTGGTTATGATGGAGCGTTTTTTGGAGATGCTGTGGAGGTTGAGTTGGCAAGCTTTTCAAAGAGACTGAATTTGGGGCCAAAAGGAAAGTTCAGAGTTCAGGGTTACCCCTAGCACCCTGGCATGTGGAGACTTGTGCCATTGGTCTTGACAGAGGTCAGGGGAAGGAGCATGTGTGGGGGGAAATAGTAGGACCTGTTATTGGATAGATTGAGTTTTGAGGAAGTGGTGTGACATCCAGGATGATGTGTCTGTTAGTAAATTAGTGATCTGTGAGGAGACTGATGTGAGCTGAGGGCTAGAGAGACAGATTTGGGTGTTGTTAGCGTAGAAATGATATTGGAAGCCATGGGAAATTGTCAGCTGATCCAGGGAGGAGGTGTAGATCAAGAATAGGAGGCATCCAAGAACAGAACCTTGTGGGACCTGGAGGTTCAAAGGTAGAGAAGAGGAGGAAGTAAAATTGTAAGTTGTAAGTGACACTGAAGGTGCAATGAGATAGGATGAGAACCAACGAAGACCACAGTCATGGATACCAAGGGAATAAAGTTGTTTTTGTTTGAGGAGGGGGTGGTCAACTGTACCAAAGGCAGCTGAAAGGTCCAGAAGTAGTAGTACAGAATAATGTCCATTGGTTTTTGCTGTTAGTAAATAATTTGTGAGTTTTAGGAGAGCAGTTTCTGTGGAGTGTTGAGGGCAAAATCCAGACTGAAGGGGATCAAGAAGGTTATTCTGAATAAGGTGGTCACTTGGTTGGTTGTAGACCAGGCTGCGTTTTTTGAGACTTCTGGTGTAGTCTGTTTGCCAGGGTTGTGGGGGTCGGGGCCTGATTCTGTGTGTAGTGGGAGGAGTGAGCTCATCCAGGGTGGAGGACAGGGATCTATTATAGACAGAAGTGGCTAGATTAGGGCAGGACAGGGGTGAGATATTGTCATAGAGGTAGCAGAGTGGAGAAGAGAAGGGTTAAATTAGCAAGGGTCTGTATGGGTAATTGTTAAGCAGTTGGAGGGAGAGGTGGTGGAAGACAGGGAGAGAGCAAACTAATAAGGTGGTGATCAGAGTGCAGTAAAGGATTGTTGGTGAGGATGAATGGAGTGCATAGGTAGGAGAATACAAGGTCAAGGGTGTTGCCCTCAGAGTGAGGACCATCCACCCATTGCTTCAGGTCAAATGAGGAGAGTAGGCTAAGAAGTAGCAGGAGTGTTAGTATTAACAGGGATGTTGAAGTCACCAAGAATGATTGTGGGGATTTCAGAAGAGAGGATGTGGGGGTAGCCAGGCAGAGACGTCATCAAGGAAAGTTGGTACAGGTCCAGAGGGCCAGCAGATGACAGCAATTCTTAAAGTTGGAGAAAATCGACGTACACAGTGAGCTTCAAATGATAACCGAGACAGAGAGGGCAGAGAGTGAAGAACCTGAAAAGGTGCTCTGTGGGGATAGGTGGATTCCCACTCCACCTCCCTTGCAGCCACTGGGTCTGGGGGAGTCCAGAGAAGGCCACCATGGGAGAGGGAAGCAGGAGAAGCAGTGTTGGATTCATGTTCATTCAATTTTCATTGACAGTAAGTACATGAATGGAATTAGTGACAAAGAGGTCCTGAACAGAGGTGAGTTTATTGCAGACAGAGCGGGCATTCCAGAGGGTACAAGAGAAGGGTAGACTGGTTCTGGGAAGAAGAGGAATGGAAACCAGATTATGTGGATTGTGGATACTGCCAGAGGATGCAGGGGATGGGTGCATTGGTAACAGGGGTCCAGGGTTTGGGGATATGTCTCCAGAGGAGAAGCAGAAGGGTGAGGGAAGTAATCTGAGAGTACGACTTATATGAGGAGACATGCCTCAGCATCCTGGGGGGTTATTAGCATGTGGGCATAGAATGAGGAGGAGATGATGATGAGTGCAGTGATAAGGTGAGGACAGAAGTGAGGGTGATATATACAGATTGTGGGGTGGAGGAGTGAAGGAAACAGAGTTTGAGGAGAGGACACAACTGTGAAAAGGAGAGGTAGAGGGTGCATGTTACAGAGAGGAAGGAGAGCCGAATGGGGAAATGAGATCATCTGCAGTCTGATGTTTTACAAAGTAGCTTGCTGTAGATTATCGCTTCATGCATTGCTGAAGTGGAAGAGGAGAAGTGCCACCTAATTAACAAACCCACTATATTGGGAGAACCCCAACATGAACCACCCTGGCATGTGCCTCCCCCATAGAGGTGATCTAGATAGTGTTCATGACCCACCTGTGCTGATCTCTGTAGGAGTGTCCTCCTCTATAAATGTCCCCGTTATTCCATCCTCCTCCATAGACTGCTGATCATCCCTCACATACGCCTCTTCTTCTTCTGATTTAACCTCAACTTATATATCGATGGGATCTCACTCTAAATCAAGGAAAAGTAGAGGAAAATATCATCTGTAAAATATAAGTTCACATAACAAATTTCCACACTTCATCTCTACAAGTCCATGTTCTAGATGCTTCATCCCACCAACCTTGTAATAGTGAGGGATGGTGTGAACTTCCTGTGTGGAATCCCGGGAATACAGAGGACGGGGACATCTCTCTGGTGGGTTCCTGGTATTAGGTGGCTCCATCATATCCTTGTGTCCTTCTGAAAACTCCTCCATCACTCCATACTCCTCATCCTCCTCTTTATACTCTTCTTTAACATCAATATTCTCATCCCCGAGGATTCCATCTGAAAGATATAATAAAACATTCATTGTAACAAACATGCTGTGTATAAATCACAACTACCAATAATTGTCATCATCTACCTGATGATGGTGAGGGATGGTGTGACCTTCCTGTGTGGAATCCCGGGAATACAGAGGACGGGGACATCTCTCTGGTGGGTTCCCATGACTGGATCCATCTGTAGGAAACACACACACTGACTGAATCCATTGTTTCTATGTGTTTATCAGATGATGGGGGATCTAGGTGGATCCTCCGTACTGCTCTCTCCTTTACAATAAAGTCTCCTCTTACCCGGTGATGTGAGGGGCGGCTGATTGTCCATCATGACGTCCTTGTAGAGATCCTTGTGTCCTTCTAAACCATGTAGGCCAGCTTTGGGAGCAAGATATATTATCATCAACTCCTCCCCCTGAAGGGGTTCATCTACGTATTACCTACTTTGCTGCCAGATCCAACAATGTCTCCTCTCTGCTTCCTACTTACTCATGTTTCCCCTGGAACTTCCTGTCTGTACCTGACACTTCTGTCTGTACCTTCCTGTCTGTCTTTCATAGAGACTTCCTGTCTGGGTAGAAGTGAGATCCCCACCTTGTGGAGCTCAGAGGAACTGCAGCCCCGAGAAGCGTCTGGTAGTGTGACCCCGGCCTTGTGCTGGGTGTGTATGGACTGTAGATCCTTATAGAGGGGTCACCTCCACTCCCACCAAGGGGGACAGAAATATATGACTGCTCGGGGGAGGGGTTTGGGCCCCTTTGATTTTGCAGTAACATTGATTGCAGATTTAGTCCTGTAGAACATCTGGTAAATGGATACAAAGCCCCCCAGCTGGGAGTAAAGGGTGGAAATGGCTGGTGACCCCCAGATTTGGGCAATGATGTCATCACTATAAATGGATAAAACCCGCGCTATGTGTAACAACTCCAAACCTACAAAAACCTTCTAGCGGACTGCTGCTGTAACAAAGGGAAGGATTCCCTGTCATCTAGAAGAGCATTATGTGTCACAGCGCTGTCCTATTGTGTGTGCACAGAAATCATCACAAATACACTACAAATATGTGGAGACATTCAGAGATAAAGAGCTCGGGGCTCCAAATCCTATTCTCTGCACATCCACTGCTTCCACTTTACACCCACTTCATTGGTCTTATGGGGTTTATCAATAAATGAAGGAAACTAGTTTTTGCAGAGGAGGAGCCTGAACATGGCGCCAATTGGGAGATCAATGTGAGATCTCCCAGTACCAGGCGTCTCCAATGTCCCACTACAGCACAGGAGGAAAGTCACATGACTCGCTGCAAAGGAGTCCTGGGAGGTAGGAGAAGCTGGTCGGTGTGAAGGAGTGCAGGAAGTGGTGAAAAATGTCAACAGGATGAAAAATAAAGGGATAAAAGGAGGAGGGCCAAAGGCCTCCCAGACAAGCTCAATTACAAAATATACCCCAACAAGAGAAAACAGACCCCCGAGAGACAGCAAGGAATAAGTGGAAGAACAGAGATGGAGAACAGAGATGGAGAATGATCTATATTGTCCCTGGACATGACCAACGTTTGGTCAGGATATAGAGGAAGGAGATACAGGAAAAACAGCGGATTTGGAGAACATAGAAGAACAAAAAAAGAACTCTCAATTACCCACTAAAACAGACATTGCAGAAATGTTTAAAGGGTTAGAAAAGTCAATAAAACTGGAGATGGAGAAACAGCAAAAGGGATTGAAGAGGGTAGAAGAGGGGGAGGGAAGGGTTGGGTAAACATGCCCAAAAACATATTTAAAAATTTTTAGGAAAGGGGACGGAAAAAGGAAAAGAAACAGAGAAATCTTTTATATAAACTGCAAAAAAACAGGGGGAACGGGGTAGAAGATGCCAAAATTTAAAGGGTTCAAGGTTTTCCCCGAGACCCCCCAAAAGGGGAAAATGTAAAAGGAAACAAAAAGGGGAAAAAGCTTTTTTTAATAGTAATGGAAAAGACCTGCAAAAAGGCCACCCTTTAAAAATGATGGGAAATATATAGAATCGGAAAAATTATGGCAAGAAGGTTTGAAGAGAATATTTGAGAGATGTGGGTTGTTCCCAAAGACTTATTTAAAGGGATAAAGAGGAAACTTTGGGGAAAGGGGATTTAAAAGGGAAAGGGGAGCAAAAAAATAAGGAGATTAAATTTTTCAGTTTTTTGCTGACCCAGCAGTGGGGAAAATTTTTAAAAAGAAGGGGGAAAAAAAAAAAAAAACCCCAAAAAAAAAAAAAAAAGGGGGGGGGGGGGCCCAAAAGGGGGGTTTAAAAAAAGGGAAAAAAAAGGGGGGGGGAAAAAAAAAAAAAAAAAGGGGGGGGGAAAAAAAAGGGGGGGGGGGGGAAAAAAAAAAAAAAAAATTTAAAAAAAACCCCCCCGGGGGAAAAAGGGGGGGAAAACCCCAAAAATTTAAAAAAAAAAACCAAAAAAAAAAAAACCCCCCCCAAAGGGGGGAAAAGGGGGGGGGAAAAGGAAAAAAATTTTTTCCCCGAAAAAAAAAAAAAAAACCCCCAAAAAAAAAAGGGGGGGGGTTTTTAAAAAAAAAAAGAAAAAAAAAAAAAAAAAAAAAGGGGGGGGGGGAAAAAAAATTAAAAAGGGGGGGGTTTAAAAAAGGGGCCCAAAAAAAAAAGGGGAAAAAACGGAAAAAAAAAAAAAAAATTGGAAAAAAAAAAAAAGGGGGGGGGAATTTAAAAAAACCCCCCCCTTTTAAAAAAAAAATTTGGGGGAAAAAAGGGGGGGAAAAGCTTTTTTTGGGGCCCCCCCAAAAAAAAATTAAAAAAAAAAAATTGGGTTTTTAAAAAAAAAAAAAAAAATTTTTTTTTTAAAAAAAATTGGGGAAAAAAGGGGGGGGAAAAAAAAAAAAAGGGGGGGGGGGAAAAAGGGTTTTCTTTTTTTAAAAAAAAAAAAGGGGGAAAAAAAAAAAAAAATTTTAAAAAAAAAAAATTTGGGAATTTTTGGGGGGGTTTTTTTTTGGGTTTGGGGGGGAAAATTTAAAAAAAAAATTTGATTTGTTTTTGGGGGGGAAAAGGGGGGTTTAATTTTTTTCCCCCCTTTTTTGGGGGGGAAATTTTTTGGGTTTTAAAAAAATTTTTTTTTGGGAAAATTTTTTTTTTTGGGGTAAAAAATTTTTTTAAAATTTTTGGGTTTTTTTTCTTTTTTTTAAAAAAAAGGGGGGGGGCCTTTGGGGGCCCAAAAAATTTTGGTTTTTCAAAAAAAAAAACCCCCCAAAAAAAATCAAAGGGGAAATTTTTTTTTTTTTTTCAAAAATTTGGAAAACCCAAAAAAACCTTTTTTTAAATTTAAAAAAAATTTTAAATTTTTTTTCCTTTGGGGGGTTTTTTTGGAAAAAATTTTTTTTTTTCCCCCAAAATTTTTTTTTTTTCCCCTTTTTTTTTTTTAACCCCCCCCTTTTTTTTAAATTTTTTTTTTAAATTTTTTTTTTTGGAAAATTTTTCCTTTTTAAAAAAAACCCCAAAAAAAAATTTTTAAAAAAAATTTTTTTTTTTTAAAAAAACAAAAAATTGGGGGGCATCCGGGAAAAAAGGGGGGGGGGGGGGGGAAAAACCCCCAAAAAACCCCCAAAAAAAGGGAAAAATTTGGGGGGAAAAAAAGGGGGGGGAAAAAAGGGGGGGGGGGGAAAAAAAAATTTTTTTTTTAAAAAAGGGGGAAAACCCGGGGTTTTTCCCCCCAAAATTTTTTAAAATTTTCAAAGGGGGTTTTCCCCCGGGGGCCCCCCTTTGGTTTTGGGCCTTTTTGGGGGAAAAAAAAAGGGGGTTTTTGGGGGGTTTTTTTTTTTTTAGGGCCCCCCCAAAAAAAAGGGGTTTTTTGGGGGAAAAAAACCAAATTTTTCCCCCCCCCGGGGGGGGGGTTTTAAAAAAAAAGGGGGGGGGTTTTTTTCCCCCCCCGGGGGGGGTTTTTTTTTTAAAAAACCCCGGGGGGGGTTTTTTGGGAAACCCCCCCCCTTTTTTTCCCCCCCCCAAAGGGGGGGTTTTTTAGGGAAAAAAAAAAGGGGGGGGTTTTTAAAAAAATTCCCCAAGGGGGGGGAATTCCCCCAAAAAGGGGGGGGTTTTTTGGGGGAAAAAAAAAAAAAAGGGGGGGAAAAAACCCCTTTTTTTTTTTAAAAAAAAAAAAAAATTTTAAAAATTTTTGGGGGGAAACCCCCTGGGCCCCCGGGGGGGGGCCCCCCCCGGGGGGGGGGGAAAAAAAAAAAAACAAGTCACCAGTCGGGACCTTTTCCCTGTCACCACATGTTCCCTTTTTAGGATTTTTCAACCTTCCAAACAAATGTATGAAATCTGGATAGTCCCCCTTTCTATGTGATCTAGAAGATCTTCAATCACAATGTCTTTAGGGAAAAGTGGATGGCCCAGTTTATAATTATTTATTTTTTTACAGCTTTATTCCCCCAGATTCATTCTTTATTTATAGCCCCATTAAAGGAAGTGTTCTACTTTGAGAGATCCCACCACCATTCCTCGGGGGACCATTAATCCTTGTCATTTATGTCAACATCTTCATTTCAGGGATGATAGATATTATTTACTTTGGGAAATTTTTTTTTGCACTTCTTCCAAAAAGTCATTTTGGAGGTATTTTTTTCTTTGGGTTTACCTTTTTTTTCGAATTTTATTCGGTCTATGGCTTTAGTAATAAAATACTTTGTTAAACATTGGCTGCAAATGACTAGGTTTTTTTTTTTTTCTTACTTTTAAAAAAAAATTGGTCACCCTGGAGCCGAAGGGTAGATTTTACAAAAATTATTATAACATTTTGGGGCTGCAGTTCCACTAACTCCAAAAGGTGGGATCTCACTTAAACCCAACAGAAGTCTCTATGGAAACAGGCGGGAAAAGGATGCGGGTACTGACAGGTGATCGGGAATAAAGACAGAAATTTTCCATGTGGCAGAAATAAGAGGATACTTGCAGCAAGGGCACAGAGAGGAATAAATGTTTTTCCCTATTTATACCCGTAATCCCCCCGTCATGCTGTCCTCTTCCCCATGTCTGCCTCCCTTTTCCCCCCAAGCCCCATGTCCGTTCTCTTCCTCCAAAGTCATTCCTTCTTTTTCCCCATAGTCATCCCTTCTTCCCCCATATTCACGTCCGTCCTTTTCCTCCATAGTAAAACCCGTCCCTTCCCCATACCCGTCTGTCCTTTTCCTCATATCTTCTGTCCTCCCCCAATTCACGTCCCCCTTCCTCCATAGTCATGTCTGTCCTCTTCCCCCATCCATGTCTGTCCCTTCCCATATTCATGTCTGCCCTTTTCCCCATATAAAAGTCGTCCCTTCCCCCATACATGTCTGCCTTTCCTCCATATCATTCTGTCCTCTCCTCCATATCCTTTCCCTCCTTTTCTCCATACTTTTCTGTCCTCTTCCTCCAATCACTTTACTTTTTTAAAACCCCCAAGAATATGATAACACACATAAGTGTGGGAACCCAATAACCCCTTCAGGGCAGAACT